TTCTTTTTGAAAAGGGGCCCTTACCTTCTCTTGTTCCTCTGTATATTACGAAAAGCGATGTAAGACTGAAGATGCTCGAAAGATCTACTGTAAGTTGCATTTTGTGGCACTTGCAACACTGCAATGACTGCAGCCTCTGAAGAGCTACAAGCTGTCAACATTGTCAGATGATGTCAGATGGTTGGATCACCCGTAAAGAGTAGACTCGCAAGTTGGTGAATGAGGATCCTTCTCTTTTAGTTGCCAAGCAGGTGAAATATTTGATAATATTTGGTCTCAGCCATTTGAGGGCAACCACTGCCCAAGCTCTTCTGAAGATTGATTTTCCCAGCTTCCAATGACATTGACGCAGGATGCGGGCAGTACCAGTTCCAGCCCTTATCACGAGCATTTTTAGCACATGTGTCCATTAGTCATAAAGGTTCAGTGTATATTGGATAGGAAAGGTCAACATACGGATCAAGCGGTCACTGTTGAGCTGAGCTTAGGAAATGACGTCACAGCGGTGGAGATTCCTCCAGATCTAGAGGCCAGCGGTCAGTGCACTACACCGCTGCCGATAAATTGACCTGCAGGGTGTCATGCAGTTTGTTGGTTCACGGGGATCAAAGTTGTTCTTGTGCCTCTCCATAGTAGATCTTATAGATGTAATTGTAATCCTTCCTTTGTGTTCATGGTGCAGGTAGCACTAGACTATACTCTATACTGCCTGGTAGGTGTCGGGGTGGGCAATGCAGTGGAACTTAGGCAGTGGCCAGCTGTTTCAAAAGTATGACTCTCAGAGGAATCGAACAGGACACTGGGCGCATCGATCGATGAGAATTTGTGGGCCAGATGCAATGGGATCGCAGGGCTTTAGAGACGTGTCGGCACATGCTAGTTTAGAGGAATGGGTTCTGTTCGGAAAGAGGTTTGCATTGCAGCAAACTGGACCTGGTAGTCAGTAGGGCATGCAAATGTTCAATGGTCGTTGGCCATGCAGTACTTTTTGAGCATGCTGTTTTGTCTGACTTGCTAAATGGACCATGGATCCAGCAGACCCACGTTGTGCTGGTGCTTCCATCCATCTTCATTTTCGCAGTCTACCCGTAACCTCCAGACCGTGAAGGTGCATTATTTTGATCATGATTCATGATCATGTCCGTAAATTGGTATTCAGCTTGAAGTAGCGGCACTTTTGGCTGCCTCCAGGAGACCAAGACCTTTTGTTTCTTGGAGGGCAACAGCAACAAGTCTCAGAGGCCCCTTCGAAGATTGCCTTTGGCGTTTGCTTCTATGTTTGCGTTGCGTTGCGAGATAGTCTCTTGGGGATACATCTATTGATTGGGGTTTGAACAGTCGTTGTACAAGCTATTGCTTGAGGAGTGGGCCACAAGTTGCTAGCTGCTGGCCATTGTTGCAGGCTCTTGATCTTTGGCCATGACAAAGCAGGGAGAGAAAAGGCACAGACCATTGCGTTCGCCAAGATAGAGGAACGTGTCAGGACTTCTGGGATGAACGGGGTGATGGAGAAGCGGAAGGTATCATGTCCATTCTGATCAAGAGAAGGTTATTTGTATCAAACCATGTCTTTTGCATTTTTCTGACCAGCTTGTCTCAAGTATGTCTATAAGAGGCGTCGATCCTACCATTGCCAGGGCTCTGGAAGCTCAAATCATGACAAGGTGTCCAGCAACCTTTGCGGCAATATAGAGGTTCCTTGTTAATTCAGGTCAAGATGAACGTCAACAAAGTAAGCCCGGACCAGTGCTGTTTGTTTGTGTGTTTTTTTACCGCTCAGGAGTCAAGATGATGGTGCCGCTGTCCTGTTAAAGTCGACGTGCTATCATTTGCAATACTGGTTTTTGTGGTGCCGGCAGATCTGTTGGAGACTCCAAGGAGAATGTCGAACACAGCTGCTCTCATTTTAACCTGCTTCAAGTATGTTTGTAATAACCTACTAATATCGATTTGTGCAGCATCCAAAGATGTCCCTGACAATTTTCAGATTGTATTCAATCACCCTGCGATGTTTCGCTCTTGGAATGTCGGGACTGGCAGGCTGGGGTGACTATAGCTGGTCAAAGAAGGGAACCGCAGGAGGTCGGAAGACTCTGATAGTAACAAGCGAGGCACTTGTTACTACTAGTGTGGCACTTGTTACTACTAGCGAGGCACCTGTTACTACTAGAAAGGCACTTGTTACTAGCGAGGCACTCATTTGAACTCCACTTGCAAGAAACAGCAGGTGACCGCTACTATGGACAAGAAGCATCAGATGTCAGCCTTGGACTCAGCCCTAGGGTTCCTCATAAGAATGTACTGCATGCAGAGCCATGCAGAGCCATGCAGAGCCAAGAGCAGCTTGTTGCTTTTCCACCAGCCTTCAAGCCAGAAGGGCCAAGCTTTGCTGAGGCGATACCTTCATGCTGCGTGGAGATATCAGCGTTCATGCTCGGTGGCCCAAATGACGCCATGCAGCTGTGATTTTCATGAGATACCGAGTAGCTTGTTGGCCCGGAAGCAACTGGTGACTGATGATGACAGGCACCCTAAGGCACTTATGTCACACTTCTCACGCTGCCACGTCACTTCCTGGAACTGTCGACCCATCAAGATTAGGGCTTGGGGCTGTCAGGTGATGATTCAGACTGGGCCAAATGGCGAAGATCCTGTCATTGAGGCGGGGTCATTGCATCATAGTCAGAGTCAAAGTCTGAATCTCCTGGTCCCTCATCTACTCGTACGTACGAGTCTCAGTCGTGGATTTTCCGTGGCTCTCCTTGACAGGACGTGGAGAATGTAAGTGGCACAAAGCTGACGATTCTTTGGCTTGTTTGCGGAAACCTTGAGGAGCTGATGAGTGCAACGTTTATGGTATTTGATGTCCTCCAAAACATTCTAGTGTCTAGCGTAGGCGAAAGAGACTACAGTATACGATGTGTTTCCTTGTTTTCATTTTGTTGGGACTGTTTATTTGCTTGTAACTTTAGTTCTCCTTCCAAAACAGCAGCACTCGCTCAAGACACAACGTATATATGAAAAGAGCTTGCACAAAATGCATGTTTGGTAAGTACCCCCGGTGGGCGTTGAAAGGGTGGTTTGCAGGAAGTTCAAGAAGTTGATTTGCCTGCAGCCAGCACTGCTTGAGAGGGCGTGATTGCTTCCTTTTTGCTCAGCTTCCTTTCGGTCCCAGCCAGGCTTTCAAAGGATAAGGCAATGGTTCAGATCACTGGCAGTTCAGACAAAGTTGCGCAGGCGTGACCACATGAGACCATGCGGTGAGTGGCATTTTGTTGCAATGATTGAGGATATCATTCATCTATATTCATGTGATATACCAGGGCGTGGAGGAGGAAACAATCTTGATTGCTATATTGCTAAACTCATAATATAATCTCCTGTCAATCAGAGTGCCAGAGCATGTCAAATGATTGCTTTTTTGAAGCATGCACAAATACACATCCACTCCACTACGAACTGTGGAACTCCGGGGTGGGTCTAGTCGAAGTTCGAAGATGATAGCTGAGTGAATGGAGCAAACTGAGGCGAAGCGCCTGCTGCAACAGTTTGCTGACAAGTTCGTCACATGTAGCTTGGCATATGAATTTGCCACTGTAATTGTGCCCTTGTTGCCTTCATCGTAAGCTGCCTGAAGCTTTGGGCAGCAAGTCTTAGTTTTATCATGCTTTATTTGTTTTTATTATATAGTCTTCATTCCTGTAGATTCCACATGACAATGACAACATGCAAAGCTGAGGCAAAGTGAAGATGCAGCCTCAGCTTGAGCCCCAACTGGCCATATCCAGAAAAGGTGTGGTCGACTTGGGCTGCATGGAAAAGTCTTGCTGGACTTCCACAAGTCTCGGAGAATCAAACGACGCTGTCTTCTCGTATGTTTCAGCACCTCATACCTACATTCTGGTTCTACTTTGTCTTTCTTTTTGCTTGGCCGGGGATTGCAAGGATCACTGCCGCTCTCGCCAACAAAGTCAGCTCGGGGCCTTGGATTTTCTGTAAGGCCACCGTCCTTTGCTTGAGTTTCTTCAACACTCGTGGTTGCTTCCAAGACAGCGGGTTGAGACAGGCTTGCCGGAGGGTTGCTGAAAGAAATGCAATAATTTCATAACGATTCCCATCAGAAATTGTTTTGCAACATAGTTGTTGCACATGGCAAAAACGCCTGCTATGCTAGGAACACGGTCCCGGTAGCGGTTGAGGAACTCAATGGCACTTGAAAGCGTCTCCTACCGAGTGCACGACCGGTCGCCATTCACGGGACCATGCACAAGCCATGAACGCTTCCCGTCCTGATCTTTTGTGCAAAGAATAGTGAAATCGTGCCGCTCACTTGTCCGACTTGTCCTCCCAACTTTCGATGACCAAATCCCAGATCTCGGTGTGCTAACATATGGGTTGGACTTGACATTCAAGAATTCAATACCAAAGGCAGGCTTCGGATTGGGCCAGGAGCAGCCCTTCACATCAAGTCTGAGCAAGTCTGGCTTCTTGTTTTGAGTTGTTTTGCCATCCTAGAATCCCAGAAGTGTGTCCATAGGACTTGATGAGTCCCAGTAAGTGGGACCTGCCGAAAGAGGTTTCATGATGTGTTGGCCTTCCGCCACTGTCCTATGCTCTTCCTCCCTTTGAGAGCTCCAGGTTGAGAGAGCGTCGCATGTTTGTGATGTTGGCTGGTCTAATGTGAATAAAACATTCCATGAATCACCATAAAAGAAACAACAACAGATCATGCGTTTTGCAAATGTTGCTTTGTTTGTATCTTGTCAACAGCAGGCATGTATTGCCTCTTGTTTCTTACCCGTTCGATACCCTGGCCACTAGGAACTGAACCTCTCAAAGTCAAGCACACTCTTTCATTTGTACTAGCTTCTTGTTACTACTAGTAAGGCACTTGTTACTAGAAGCGATGCACTTGTTACTAGTAGCTTCTTGTTTCTACTCTTTCATTTGTGTGCCTTCTTGGTATGCACCCCTCATCCTGAGGCCACTACATCCGGCCAATGCCATGGATCTCCACAGCAGAGGTGGACGAGCAGAAAGATCTGCCAGAAAGCCCAGCTTGGGGATGCCAACATTGTCATATTAGATGAGTTACAACGATTTCATCCTTCACAATTTTGGATAATGTAACAGGCAAGAACATAAACCCGTCACCCTCGGTTTCACTGTTGTTTAACGCCTCGTGTGACTAGAGGCTGATACTTATGGATTGGCTCAAAGTTTACCTAGCTGATTCAAGACTTCAACACCAGCCTATGTGGGCGATGGCCAAAAAGGCCACGGTGTTTGGACATCCTTGGATGCTGAAATCACAGCTGGGTCCTCTTAGCTCAGGTTGAAGATTCAAGGACACCAAGACAGTGTAGATCAAACCTTCAAGGTGCTGGATGAAGTGGGGGGCTGTTGGGTGCATCGCTACTAGGAACAAGAAGCAAATAGTAGTTCCTGGCATTACTACTAGGAACAAGAAACTACCAGTAACAAGCCATGGCATACGATATTATAAATTATAAATACAACTGTCCAAAGCTCGACATGGATACGACTAAGACGGACAGCCGATCGAAGTTGAGGCACCTCAAGTCGCATCCAGAGTGACTGCACACTGAAAAGAGAGAAGGTGATCCACGACCTCTATCGTGACCATGGTTTGGAATTGGATCAAGCTGCTGCATGGCTGCAAATAAGATGCAGATCCTCATCGCACTTCTCAGCAGTTTGAAGCGGCATCGTCCATTTTTTGAATGATCATGTGGAGAGGAAGCTAATGACTAGCCAGGGACAATGCACAGCGGCCTATTGTGTAGGTAGATTCTTGAGAGGAGTTTGCCTGAGTTCTATCTCTCTCCCTCTCTCTTTGTCCAGGATGTCAGCATCAAAAGACGAGATGAGCAACCAGCTCACAGTGCTGGTAGGGACCCCATGTCTTGCAGTCAGCACATACAGAACTGACCGGACAATTGCAGACGTAGTGTGCTAACTGACCACATCAACAGAAGTTCCGACCAACGTTCCGGTGTTTGGGTGTTTATTGGAACAATTCGGAACTAGACATAACATACCAAAATGCCAAAAATTGCGAGAAGGTCGATACTGAAAGCAGACTTTGGTTGCAGATGTTGAGCAAGCAAGCTTTTTATGGTGACAGGTGAACCGTGGTTAACAGCCAGTTTATTGGTACAGATAATCACCAGACCGCGACATGATGCAAACTTGTTCTTCTCTTTGTGCACCATGCCAGCAGTTTGGTTTACGTACTGAATATTCTTTTGAATCTGGTTTGCAGGAATCAACCTGCCATGTTGGTAAGAAAGTCCGAAGAAAGATCATCTCTAAAGGAAATGTAATCCTTGCCACAGGCCGCGCCTTTTACGCTGCTGGCCGAGCCTGTGATGTGCTAAAAGTCAGTGAGGTGAAACTGCGAAGGGAGGGATTTTTTGGGATTCAACTTCGGAGCTGTTCATTTCCTTAGAGTACCAGCAAAGGACGCTACTAGGAACAAAGGGCATCGCTACAAGGAGCTAATAGTAGCTCCTGGCCCTATTACTTGGAACAAGGACGCTACGAGTAACAATGGGCTTAGACAACAAGACACAATCACCGTAAAAAAAGATACCCCTGCTGCCACTTGACGACTCCTGGGGCGATAGAACATGCAAGCTAGTTGTAGCTTCTAGTTGGCACCCACACAGGGTTGATTAGCTTGCAATAGCGCCTGCCAGGATGATGCAGCCTTCATCCTGGGTCGTGTTGGCAAAACGAAGCACAAGATCGCTCGGGCCGAGACACTTAGCATGCAGTGCATTAGGTTTGCAGCTTTGCACCACACTCACTTGGACTGTGTGCATTCGCTGAAGAACAGTAGATCGGCAGCTACTTTTTTTGCTTCGCCCAAGTGTATCCTAACTCAGAAAGGTAGCTGTGGAGCCCCCAGTCGTGATAGACATACAGTATAAATAATATACTGGACATTTGTACTACAGTAGTGTGAGTGAAGTCATCTTGTTTTGACTTTCACTGAATTCATATTTAGTGTAATGTGGACCAGATGCAGTACATCAGATACTCCATCCAACCTGAAGAGGTTAGAGGCCGGCTGTTGCTCAGGTCTCCGGTGCACAGTTGGAGCTGCACGAGCGGAACAGCACTGTCGAAATTTATGGTGCCTGGATTTTTTTTGGGAGCTCCGAAGTTTTTCCTGGTCAAAGTTCAAGTTGTCCATTCAGTTTGATTCAGTTGATTCCTCACCTACTTTGTGGTTCCCTTGAGTAATTAGTTGGACGATGCCCCCTTTTTCATTCTGTTTGTGGCAGGCCCTGTCTTTAAGGCAGGATCTCCCTATATATACATCCAACCTCAGGTGTTCAGACTCAAAGAGGCATCAACTTGACGGAGTCCTAAACAAGCTTCATGCTTTCTACACTGATAGTATTTAAGCTATTTGCTACTAGTAGCTACTTGCTCCTAGTAGTACGGCCAGGAGCCTCTAGTAGCATCTTTGCTCCTAGTAGTGATGCCAGGAGCCCCTAGTAGCTACTTGCTCCTAGTAACAAGAAGTTACTAGTAACAAGGGCATTACTACTAGAGCCAAGCAGTTTTAGACCACAGTGCGCTTGAACGTGGAACGTTAGTAGATATCCTGTTGCCACATGTTGCGATATTTCTTTATGTAAATGTAAACGTTATATATATATATATTATTTTTTTTTCCTTTATGATCCGTTGTGGCAGGTGATGATGAAAGTCGGCACAGGGCTCGGAAGTATATCGACCTGGTCCGTGCTCAGCGGATTGGCCCTGTGCACGTGGATGAATCCCACAACGATGGGGACTGACAACTGGGAGGGACTGAAGGAGGGATGGAGGGGTTGCCGATTTCGTGGACCTTAGGTAACATCAGGTAACAGTGATTGAATTAGAAGTTGATCTATTCATTCGCGACTGCTAGCTGCATCTAACTAGCATGGCAGTCACTATATTTGCCGCCGCTGCCAGACTACCATTTGCCAAACACTTTGGCTGGACGTTCAATGGTCAGAAACATTTGCTTTGCAATGACGAGTTAGGATCCCACTTCTGTAATTATGCAGCCCTGGAGCAGGTACTACGGTACTAGAGAGTCTTAAGCTTCAATGTGTGACTACATTCATGGAAGTTCATATCCTGGCAAAGAAGCAGGTGCTGTCGCCCAAGATATCTCAGCCAAAGCTTGCATATCTTGGAGAGAGTATTCAGTATTCTGTCTGTCCCGGGGAATCCCGCCCATCGTGGCCAACCAATTTGTGTTCGTTCTGCTCCAACTCTAGGACTTGACGTTGATCTCTGTGCCCAGCAGTTGTGTGGGCGCGGCACCTCGGGACCAGAGAAAACGGGACCCTGCACAGAGGTGTGTGTGTGTGGGATCACCAGGAAATTCAGCCATATTCAGCAATAATTAGCTTGGACAACTCAAGAAATGCTGAGTGTCAAAGTACAAGCGCATACATATTTCAGCTCAATGGCCGTTCAGCACTAGCGCAAGGCATGGCAGCTCGCTAAACTGTTATGAATGTATAGTAAGGCACTTGTTACTACTAGTAAGGCACTTGTTTCTAATAGCTTCTTGTTACTACTAGTAAGGCACTTGTTACTACTAGCGTGGCACTTGTTTCTAATAGCTTCTTGTATAAATTAATGGGTTCTCAATATGTGTCCCCTCTATCGCTGACATGCAGTGGGGCGGGAGAAAAAATGGAACCTGGCAGTCGGTTCTCGTTTGGTCACCAGGTTTTGTGACAGGGAGCCAGGGCAACTTTTTGCGTACGTGTGAAGAGGACTGTCAATCGAACAAGGGAGTGTGGGGTGGGCTCCGTGAAATACTTGACTGTAAACGATGTTGCAAGCAGTTGAAAGCTAATTACTGGAATGATACACTTATCATCTTCCTTGGCCTCCAACATATTTCATGTGCCTGGACCATTGCCCACCCGTGTTGGTGTGCAATTTGCGGATCATGTCGACTTAGTCCATGATGCTATTCATGGTCCAAAAAGATTGCAGAATTGCAGACAAGCTGATTTAAACACTTGCATCATTGCACAACCTCAGTTTTGTTGAGCCTGCTCAGATCTCCCAGCAAATCTTGACTCGGATGTCTTTCGGTTGTAAGAGCTGTTAATGATCGCGGTGCTTACCTGGTCATCAGAGGGCTAAAGGGGTGGAAGCTTAAAGGGGTTGATAGTGAGTAACAAAAAAATCAACATAGTCCAGATTGGGATGAGCCCTTTTCATTGAACTACTTCTGTATCACTGTCATCTTACCCGCAGCAGTGACAAAACCTGAGGAAAGTTGTATTCTTCTTTGAGGAGACTGAGGATTACCAAATCTGCCACCTGAGCACATGATGAAGTGACACCACTCCTCTCTACCACATAGAGGATATACCCCGGATGGGGAATGTAAGTGCAATGACTGGGGAGATACATCCACTCTTGGACAGAACCATCACAACCTCTGAGTTGCAAAGCTTCAGCAGCCAAGGACCACGTTTTTGTAGACCCAGGCATTCGAGGTCTGGAGGTTAACCCGGTGTGGAGGTTAACCCGACTAAAGATTTACTCCTAAACTTATTGACTACTCCTCACATGTTCGCTTGCGAAGGGTTCCGGAGCGAAGCACTTGGTGAGCTGCCGTGCTTGGATCGGCCACTGCGGTTGCGTTGGCGCTGCTGAGCAGTGGCTGCAGCAGTGGGTGGTTGGCGCACTTTTCCTGGTCTCAAACGCCAATCGACTCATGCAAGCTCTATGGCCACCGTGGCCATTGGAAACCAGCAAGCCAGTATGCTTCTAGCCATTCTCTGCATCGAATGACCGGCACGTCCAGCCCAGGATTTGCATCTGGGCGCCTGTGCATGGAACAGCTGGTGGTGATGTGATTCTGGCTCACTGCTTTGGACTGAAGCAATCGGAAATGTTTGGCTTGGCGGCTTGGCACCCACTACGAACTTGTGAAAAAGCATTGATTGAAAATTGCGCTCTGCCAGCAGGACGGCTTGTGAGCTGGCAATTTGTGTAGGACATGTGTGAGATCAGAGAGGTTCTACTGGATCTGATCGCTATCGTCAGCTAGAGGGATCTCCTCGGCTCGTGGCTTGTCCGCGTCTGACTTGTGGTGCACCACAGAATTCGGTACCTGCGCTGATGTGGGCTGATCCGCTGACGCTGCCCGTAAGCTTACGGCACACAGGTTTTTTTGATGAAAAACAGCCGCGCGCCACATTCTTGCGGGGAAGGGTGGGCTTGGTTGATGGAAAAAAGACTTTCTCTGCACTGGTTTGCCCAGTTCGGTCTTGAACGAGTGGCTGCTTGTGAAGAACGCAACAATCCCGATCATCGATCTGAGGTGCCGCTTTTGCCTGGAGCTTCCTTGCCGCTGCGCCCGGCGCCCTGCCACTGCACCGCACCGCTGCGCCGTCGCTTCCTGGCCGCTGCGCTTCCGTGCCGCTGCGCCGGCGCCGGATGCGGTCCAAAGTGGCCAATGTGTCAACCAGTCCAAATGTAGGCAAAAACGGCGAACCCGTCACGTACTGTTCTACTCTCCAACCAACCCTTTACAACCCACCGCTACAACCCACTGAGGGCCTGGCATCTCAATCCTTGTCAAGAGTGTTGGCCAGTCTACACTTACTCTGCTGAAAACTCACCAGCCCCAGGCCCCAGGCACCAAACCTCCCACACTCAAGGATTCCGTTGCGCAAATTTCCTGTCAACTTCTCATTGGTGCACAGGCGCACAGTCACCCCAACATGTTTCTTACCTATTGGGTGGGCCCTTTGACCGATGGACCTTTGAACCAGCCCTGGTTGCCCTGGTTGTTGAAAGGAGTGGGGCACCCTGATGTTCTTCTGTGACTACCAAGGAGGCGTGGTTGAGAGCGTCGCCACACAAGCAACCGACATGACTTCAACACAGACTTTGCAAGATTGATGCCAACGTTTTTTGCCCAATCTCAAAAGTTTCACGAGTAGTGTTGACTGTGTAAAGGTAACTTCGGAACATGCGCTGGAAATCATTCCCTGCTGAAAGCTGAGTTGCCAAAAAGTGAACATGACGCACCATGCAGGTGGCCCTTTAGATACCTATGGCGGCTCTGAAACTTGGCGCAGCCAAAACATTTATTCGGCAGGTATCCTGCTGGGCAAGAACAAGGTCACTGTAGAACCAGCATGGTTCTTTATGTATTCTGTATTTAGCTTGGCTAGACTATGGTTGGTCGGGACTGCCTGGTGGGCCATATGTAAGTTGAGGGCACTCAATCCAGCTCCTGACAGAGGGGTTGCTTTCTTGCGTACAGTGTCGAAAACTACGGTTTGTTTTGGGCAGCTAAGGAGAAGCTGGCAATTTTTGGTACTTTGTGGGCCCGCTGCGGTGCTGAACTCAAGGCTGCGCTCAATGGTGCATCGGCGCACCTGATGAACTGGAATGAATTGCATGTTACCAAAATCGTACGAGCCTAGGTTGGGTGTGTCAGTCCCTCAACGCACGCGATCATGGCTACATAGATTGCAGAACAACCTTGTCGGAAAACAATACTTGGCAGGTTTTGAAACGCAATAATATTGCGAGAAAGGATGATAACGGTATGTTTTCATTGCAGAAAACCGAGTTTCAAGAATGTGTGGAGCAGTGTATGATCTCGTGTTTTCAATTGTGTTGAAAACCCCCTCCTCAATTTATGGTCACAAACAATGGATGAATGGCTGTCCTATCCAACAGGATCAAACAGTTCGACACATATTTCTTTTTGTATCGCTGTACAAACACCTGTACCAAGCAGTCCTTTCGTAGGTCATGGCAGCCATCGAGACAAAACTGCCCGGTTTCTATACTAGCACCTTGGGAGAGACGCAATCTTGGGACGAGCCAGAGACTCAGATGACTCAGGACATAGTTTCCTTAGACAGCCTGATAGTTGGTGGTAAGGTCCCTGCATTTTGGTATCGGCAACTGGGAGTAAGTTGTGGTACTTCTACCAACCACCTCTCAGCAGCATTCTCACAACTACAGCACAGGCGTTAGCCCAAGACCAATCAGACAAGCGGGCTTTCACTTTCACTTCTTGTTATGGCTTTGCACACATTGTGCGCTTCTTTAAGCGTACGTCAAAAGTCCCATTTAGAGTGACCTCCTTGCAACACAAGAGATAGCTCTTCCACCGAGGTGGGGGACAGACACCTATCCCATGCACAATGATCAGCTCTCCTATGTGTTGGGCCGGAAAGGCTCCACGCGACAGAAGCTGGCACGAGCCAGTGGTCCCTTGAATGCAAACGTTTTAAGACTGTCAAGGCAAGTCATTGCAAATGAAGAGTAGGGAGCGCTATTTCATACGTGTCATATGACGCTGAGAGCAATACTTTAGATTCTCATGATTCAACGGAGTGAGAACATCCACCCCAGGCTGCATCATGGAATACGTGGGCAATGTCGCATTTATGGCCAGGGGCCAAGTCGGCCAAGTGTGAGTCTTTACAGTTGGGGGTTAGATTACTCAATGGAAGCTGTTATGGAAGCGAAACTATTATGGCACAAATGGCGCAGTTGTGCACAGCGCTGCTTCCTTGGAGATGCAAAGCTGTGATGAAATCTGTATGTTTGGGCTGTGTCGAGTCGAGCCAATGACGACTTCGATTGATCCATCATTTCACAAATCCTTGAGAAACTGGAAGACGACCATTCTTTTGGTTCCAAGCTACCAGGCAGGATACCTTCCAAACCGTCGACGCGGCCGAGAGTACTTGGGCACGGGATCCCTACAAAACTATGAGTTGGGATACATCACAACTCAGGGCAGCAATCCCGTTAACTAGGTTTGATCTAATTCACTGGAACTAAAACAAGCTTGGACGCAATGACTTGGTGATTTTGATGTCAATGTGGATTTCTATCAGATTGAGTTGATCAATGACTTGACAGATTTTGGGGTCAACGCGCGTTGTTTAAGAGTCAGTGCGACATGGTGATTCACGACAGGCCTTTGCTCCAGCCTCGATTTTTGGCGTTGACAAGATTCTTGCGTGATCTACTTTATGCATTTTTATGCGACAAAATATAGTAACATAGTATTAGATAATGTGCAGGTAGCCTTCAAAGGGTGTCCTACGGTTCCGGAAAGCACAACGCACTTAGGTTGGCTTTGCGACCAAGTTGGCAACAAGACTGGCTGGAGCCCGAAGTCGTTGCGACGGCCAGCATCATGTTACACACCCAAAGAATGGCCTTGTTCAAACATGCGGGGCTCGCTGAGATTTGCAGAATCTATTTTCTACATTGTTTGGAGAGATGCACATACCGTCAGATACCTATTTGTGTTTTGGTGGAGAAGCAGACTTAACCATCCGCTGGATTACATTGGCTCAGGACGCATCTCCATTGATCCGTCTTCTCGGGAAGACGTGACGCTGGTGCCAGTGCCAAGAGATTGCATCGGCTATGTGATGGGGGACAAGCACGACCCCCAGGGAAGAGCCTCGAAGTTGAGTGGCACTGAGTCTGGAGACGTGGTAGTTCAGAGAACAAACGAATGTGTCAACACCTTGGTGAGTTTAGTGGGCCACTTGAATTAGGCATGTATGTGATGCAGCTTCCAGATCTGATTGAAGCCCAGCCGGCCTTCTAGGATTGAATTGTGCAATAATCTTGGAAGTCACCTGCGAACGGTATGCAGGGACTCAGCTCTTTTTGCACAGTTTGCTCCTTGAGCACTGACAGAGACCAATGTGCAAGTGGCTGCTTTGGCCAAGGCGAAAGACACTGAGTCGACTGGAAGAGGATGGGTTAGTTTCGCTTTCTTCGGTTCAAGAAAGCGCTCTCGTTACTGGTAGAGTGCAGTGATGTCCAAGATGCTAGGCTGTGGACTCTGCGTTGCTGGATTGCAAATCTGTCAGAGATAAACCCAGTTCAATTCATTTTCATGTTGCAGATGTTCCCACTTACATCAACAGTGAGCTTTTGTCCTGGGTACTGGTACTATTGGTAGTCCGTTGCGGCCTTGTGCAACGTCATTGTGATATGCACATAGTCTGCAAGGTTGCTTTGCGTTTTGGGGCTCAAAAACATAGACATAGACATAGACGATATAGAAGAGCGTCACAAATCAGTGGCAGCATTTACAAGCTGCATGGCTGCACAAAGCCAGTGCTCGAATACAGAGTTGTTCGATTTTCTCAATGGACAGGATTGGGAGACTCTGATCTTCTTTGTGGACAGTCGAGCACTGCCTTTCAGCTACCACGAGGCTGGAGCTTGCAAAGCAAAGCTGCAATAAAGGGCAGTCAAGTCCAAGACCTATGGCCTACCAGGTTTACTGGTAGTACTGGGTGGCATTAGGTCTTGTGTTTTTTCTCTTGAGAGCGATGGCCTCCAACCTAATAGCAATGGCCTCCAGCCTCATAGCGATGGCCTCCAACGTAATTGTCTTTTTGAACGGTTAAGGCCGTGAGGTGAGCTTAAGAAGCTACCACCGATCGGACGCAGAAGGGCTCAGGCATCAAGGAAGTTCAGGCGGGAGGGGGAAGCTTCCTTGAAGAAGCCTGAGCCTGAGGCTGGATGACTATGGATGATTTGGTTCCTGGATTTCTTGACTTTTTGGTCCCTTTCTATATCTATTTGCAATAGCATGAAGCCGCGCAGGAGGATGTGGAGGGCTTGGCCATTTTTGGGGCAGAGCGAGGCCGAGCTGGCACAGAGCTCAAGGCTCGGTGTGGCCACACAGCAGAATCGCATGGTGTGACCGCATGGAAGACATAGGAAGACTAGCACTGGTTGATGCTCGTTGCAAGCATTTACAAGCTCACCCAGCTGACTGCAGGACCGTAGAAGGTCCCCTTCTCCTCCACATTTGAGCGGAGTTTGGGGTGGCATGGAGGTAATGCCGATTTCGGGAAGACCAACAAAAGAAATGATAATTACACTGTATGTATGGTTATTTAGTTGAATTGTGGGGTGTCCGTTTTTCAGCCGTGTCTCTGTATATAAATAGAGTTTTCAAGGTTTCAAGCGATGACTTTTTGTTTCTTGCCAGAGGCTTCAACATGGTGGCCTACTGGATTGATCACCACTCTGCATATGTATCGGCAGAAAGTGGCAGTGACTATAGTCGACATGAAATGGTTGATCGTAATTTTCGCCGATGATCGTTTTAGGACCTATTTCCTCAACAAATCCGAGGACCCTACAAAGCAGGACCCTGGACTGGACTCCCACGGGTAAGTACTGAACAATAACTACACAAAAAAGCAACTGCATAAGATTGCATGATTGCATCTGATCGTGTTCTCTAGGATTCGATTCTGCGGCGACGTAAACCCAACCTATGCACGCAGTCTCCAACGGCACCATAATGAGTTTCCCAAAACATCTAGGAAAAATAATCTAGGAACCAAGGCATCGATACTAGGAGCAGGGACACTACTAGTAGCTCCTGGCCTTACTACTAGTAACAAGAAGCTAGTAGAAACAAGCTAGTAGTAACAAGTGCATCACTTCTAGTAACACGTGCCTTACTAGTAGTAACAAGAAGCTACGAACGTAACAAAAGGCACCAAACCATTAGTGCGAGCGCTTCTTCAAGGTTGGCGGGAGGAGCTTCCTTGAAGCGTGAGCTATCCTGCGTAGTAGCGTCCTACTAGCTAGCTTCCCTTTATGAGTGTTGGACCAGTTTTCACAGGTGGACATACTGTGCACCTCTTGTCATGGCAATGTTTGTCCTGCTTTTCTGTTCTTCTGGTGGAGTTTAGGTCTGGAATCGCGCAAGGCCAAATGTCCCAACATCAGCAGTGAGTGAGGACCCATCAAAACAAATAGGCGCCCCCTCGCTGATGTTCTTTTTAGGACCTGGGACCTTAAATTGCCACATTAAACAAAAAAGCAAGTTTTTTTATTGTAGAACAGACAGTCTTTTGTTTAATCACAAGCTACTAGAAAAGCAGGCTTATTTATTGTAGAGAAGTCAGCTAAGTTTATTTATTGTGCAATTGTTTTTCATAAAAGCCAAGTGTTTTATTGGCAGGTGTGAATAGTTGTATGTTTTAGGTCTTTGTAAGGGGTACTCTTTGCCAATAATGTTGTTTTAAGCAGGATGTTGTAAAGAATTGATGGCGCGGATCAAGGTTCGAATTTTGATTTATATAATTTTGTAGTTGTAGAGGAGTGAGTGATTTAAGTCTATTGTTGACACTAGTTTGGGATTGTAATCATGTTTTTTCTTTTTTTTGTGTGAACACTTTCTACTACACCTAACCTACGGAAAACATTTGGTTTATTGACAGTGGTTTGTTTTTGACTCCTCGTTCAAAATTGTAGCCTTTGGAAAACAGCAGGTTTTGCTATTGATGGTAGTTTATAATTACTGGTCGATTTAAACTGTAAATTGTAACCTATTGATAGACGCCGGGTGTTATTGACAGTATTTTTTTTACTATTGTGTTTTGGGGGATAAGACACTTGGGTTTATATTTGACTCGCTCTCTCTCTATTTTAAACATACTGAACAAGCTTTTCTTATTGATAGTAATTTGTTATTGCGTGGTTTCGGTAGCCGGGATATTTTTAGGTTTACTATAATTGACTCGTCGTTTTCTATTGTGATGTGAACATTAATTATTTTGCTGTCCGCTTATCGCTAGCGTGAGGACGCGTGAGCAAAAGTCCTGAAAAGTACCTCGGAGGTCCTTAGAGGCCCAAAAGGACCTCAAAAGGAAAACCAAATCCCCAGCAAAGCGTGAGTAATCGTGAGCAGCCATGTGCATTGGCATGCATTGGCTTGGCATCCTACACACCATTGCTCGTGATTTCTACAAACGGAATTGAGTTGACTTTTCAAGATTGCTCATGACCGAGGCAAGGCTGGTTTTACAGGATCCTATATCCCCTTTGTTGGGTTTCCTCGGATTCCTCAGAGGTAATCCCAGCAACTCCTATGGTTTCTCAGACATCGGCCCTTTAGGGACCTGCTCCGCGGAGTTCCTACTTTCAAGGGTCCATGGACTCTTAAGGTACAGCATAATGTTAATAGTAACAAGGGCGCTATTAGGTGGAGGCCATCGCAAGTAGGTTGAAGGCCATCGCTACTAGTAACAAGAAGCTACTGTTGTCTTGTCGCGATGTGGCCACGGAACCAAGTGTGCATGCAGGTCATGGGTGCTGTGGAGACAAAGATCCCACAGTGCGGCACCCAAAGACAAGACCGGAATGTGCAACCTACCTGGAGAGTGGTTAATTGGCATTCTTCAACTGACCAGTCTCAGCTGGCTCGTTTTTTCAAAACACCAACAAGATAGAGAAACTGCGGGCTCGCCCTATGATGTAATGCATGTCTCCTTGTGGTGCGGGAGGAAGTAGCGAGTTGTTGATCAAGAGTTAGTTTGATATCGTCCTACCTGACCTATAAGAGCCTATACACCTATATACGTGCTTTTTAGTTGAGTGATGTTGTAGTTTGCCCTGAACCGTATACAGACGACCTACTTGTTGGACATAAATCATTTTTGGAAGGCTGCATTTTAACAATGACGCACATTCAAACTCGAATGTGAATCAAGATCAGGACCTCATTGGGCCTCATTAGGATTGAGGAGAAGTGTTTTGTAAGAAGGTTTCAGACGATTAGATTTGGAAGTGAAGCAATGGAATGTTCATAGTTAATTTTAACAAACCACTAGTTGGGTTCCACCCCTTTATTGGAATGCCCGCGCAACGGCATTGCTTTTGTCAAGACTTTGTGTTTCGCTTTCAATTGCTGCTGACTCACAAACAATCCCGACCTTTGCTCAAGGTTCTTCACTCGGGCTGCCAGTCCCTCAGTTCTTCAATGCCCTGTTGCAGAGACGCTTTGATGCGCCCTTTTGGACGCTTCGTGGACAAACGTAGTCGATATTCGGCACAGGTTCTTGATATATCTTGATATGATATGATATGGTAAGACATAATAAGACATGATGATACATATAATGCGATATAAGATGATATAAGTTGCCAGGACAGCCAGAGCAAAATATTGATGAAGGCAGATGGTGAAGACCACTTCAACAGTTGTGCCAGTCAGCATTCGAAATCAGCGGGCGACTTTGGCCGAAGCCAATGAATTTGTGCGTTTCATCCTGGAACTAAAACATCCCTTGTTACCAGTAGCTTCTTGTTACTAGTAGGAATGTTTTTGTTACTAGTAGCGATGCACTTGTTACTAGTAGCTTAAAATGCCATGCTCAATGAGGTGGGTGATTTCCACTATTATGGCCCTTGGGGCGCAACTTGGCATTGCAAGGTTTAGTGGGTTCTCACGAGACAACCTTTCCGACCTTTCTATTCTCCATTCTTGTTGAACCTTTTGAGATGGGTGCTCGCTCCCAGATGTTTTTCTTTTCTGGAGACTGAAGCTATGCCACAACAACTTCGTTTGTTTTGCTGTGGGAACAAACATGTTCCTCCCCCCCAAAAGGGCTCATGCATACCTAGATATGAGGGTTTTGACATTCAATCACGGTTGGGTGCTGTGGTCTCCCAACTCAGACACATGAAACATCGATTTGGTCTCCGTGTGACCTGAAGCCTCCAGGAGACTCTGATGATCATATGATATGCATTGACATGCCATGTCTGCCGCTGATGAAGAAATTGCATGACGTTTGAATGTGTGAGTTGGGCGCAACCTTGATTCAGGCACTCACGCCAACTTGGTTGGATAAAATGTTTCCTTTTTTTCAGGAGAAGAGTGTCAACATGGCGTTGAGTTGAGGTCGATACAATGCCTTTGCCCGGAGACGAACTGTCTTTTGCGCTCGGAAAGGAGACTGAACTTTCTGCCTGCTTTGCTCATGAAAAAGCCGTGGGAGTGAGGGGGTTTTCTTTTGTAATCTCTTGTATATTGTACCTAAAACAAAATCATACAAGTTCTTTTCTGCCAGGCTTTGCCTGGCTCGTAAATACAGTGAAAGTATGACATTCCCCTGATGTTCTTATTTGGTTTGAAAGGCATGATGTGTATGCCTACCGTTGCTTGTTGATACTCAGGGCCATCGACAAGGTAAGACCTTCACTGCATGCATCGGCAGGATGGTGCAACCAGGAGGAAACTTGTGAGCCTGCCCTTTTGTCCTTTCAAGCTTCTTTTGTGCAACTTCTTCCACTATCCAGCACACTATCACTATCACTGTTTGTTTGGGTTCGACAGGCAGATGTTTTCAGATATCTAGAGCGGTTTAAACCCGATTTTTCCTGTAGAAAGCGACTGCATCGACATCCATGTGGTCATCCAATATCAACATGTGGTGTCAAAAGCCAGGCTCGGGCCAGTGGTTGCATCCTCGAATATGCCCGGAGACTTGGGATAATCTTGGAGCTTGCAACTGGTTCGTGCCGATTTCTGCTTAAGCATTGCTGATCTGGCATTTCAGCAAGCCTTGTTATCCTATTTGCTGAAGAATCAATTGGGAGAAGGCTGATGTTTCCTGATGTGTAAATATGTTCGCAGGTAGGCAATGTGGCTTACATGGCTGGTACGTTAGAGGAACGCCTTCGTGCGAGGCCATGGGGGGGCTGGGTTGGGAAACACATGAAGGGGCAAATGAATCACTATTTGTGCCCTTAGCACCTTCAAAGAAAAGGGGGGTCTGAGCCCTGCAACAAGTCATCCAGTCAAATGACGGCTGAACAAGCTGAGAAGCCGCAGCAAATACATGCAAAATACTGTCAAGTACTCAAAATGCAATGCAAGCACTTGAAAAGGACCAGACACTTGGTAGTGGCAGCCTGGCACAACTAACTAACGAGGATGGTCATCCACTTTCAATCGGAGCCTTTGGTGAGGGTAGAGCATAAGCAGAACTGTCCATGGCACATTTTAGTTTGTTGCTGACCGGTCGTTGCTGATGCTAGGGATTACCTGACGTGGCTGACCTGGCAACGTACGGGTTCAGTTACCATCGAGACAGCTGGACGCAACGACGTGCGCGAGATGGAGGCGATTGCGGTGGGAGCAACAGCAAGAAGGGAAGGGAACAAGGAACACGAAGCTGTAGGTTCATGCTCAAAGCACTTGGATTTGAGTCAACTTTATGTCGGTCAACGTGTGGGAAATGATATTGGGAGCCAAACGGTTAAAGGCAGGATTTGTTATTATTGACAAGCATTGAAGAGTCGATCTTGTTACTAGTAGCTTCTTGTTACTAGTAGTAATGCGCTTGTTCCCAGTAGCGATGCCCTTGTTACTACAGAAAATAGCTTCTGAGCTAGAACTGGCCACTGTGACTCAGGTGCCGGAAGAGATGAGAGGAATGATCAAAGCAGCATCTTTGCGCGAAGTGGAGAAGGCCAACAGCATGGAGTCCTTCGATACGAAGCCAGTCATACGTGTTTCTGATCTGGGGTCCCAACAGTCCCAACTGGCCATGTTGCACATGCAGGGGTCCCCACAGGAACTTTGCGCCTCAAGGCTCTCGTTTTTTCAAACCCGGATGCCAGGAATCAGGCACTTTCTGCTTCTTCCAGGGTGACAGCAACTCTGAGATCTTGCTGATTTGTGGTCATCGAGAAGAGGCCAGCCAAATGCAGATTCAGATATCGTTGTTCATACAGATGTTAACCTTTGCGCTTATTCTTATTATCATGATTGCTGATTTAAGACATTCAAGACTTCAATTGGAACCCTTGACGATGCCTACACACGGCCACGAAGTAAAAGAGCCATTCTACATGACTTTGTGTCCACAAGAACGAAGCAAGAGTCCGGGCTTCATTGCTATTTGACATGCTTCAGTGTTCTGACCTTCCAGGGAAGAGCCTATGCTGAAGAGCTGCTTATGGATATCATCATGAAAGGCGCTAAATAGGTCAAAGAGAATGGAACTATTGCACACGTTGTCTACTCTGCCTCAAGAGTTCCGGTCCTTGATTTCTTGCAGCTTGCACAAATTGTTGCAGAGTTCACACAAGCATAGCGTAGCAGTGACACAAGACTTTGGCTGTACTCCTCAGTGGTATGGAGCTGCAGCAATTCCTTGCAAGGGTTGTTTGCAGCACACCAATCAAACTCAATCAACAGGAAAAAAACGAGAAAGGAAAGAAAAGGACCGGTTTAAAGGTCAAACTAAGAACCTCAAGAAAAACGGTGCAGCACAAACGCTACTAGTAGCTCCTGGCATTGCTACTAGTAACAAAGGCTACTAGTAAGGGTTTTCGCATTTTGGAGGTTCAGTGCAGCGGCCAACACCGCAAAGAGCGCAAAAGGCGTGGAGAGCTTCGGTTGAGCGGGGGTGGCCTGGGTCAGAGATGATCAGAGCAGTTCCTGCATAGCAAACCAACGGAAAGCTGTAACAAGGTAAAGTAGAGCAATATTATACGTGTATATATAATATAATATGCAGTTCAATTTTGCATGTCACAAGCACGTCGTTGTTTTCCACCGTATATGGTTATTTTTATGACTCCTTCGTTTTGGACACGCCTGTACTTCTAACTATAAGGTGCTTGCCAATTCAGAATCACCCAAGAACCTGACGGCAAGTGCACCATGCTGAAGTCCTGAAAATATTGTTTCAGAAGGATGTTTCTCATAACACAAATGCTACTAAGAGGCCTTGATCTTGCAGTTGACTCCGCCTTAGCCAGCACCAAAAAGACTGTCTTTACTACCCCTGTACAATTACTCTCGCAAATCGACAAAACATCCTTTGCCACTCCTTCCGAGAACTGTGTATACAAGATTGTATGATGACAATCATAGAATAGCAGTGTTGCTTTGCTTTGCAATTGTTTTCCGTTTTGTTTGTTCTTTCATCTTTTCAAGAGCACCTCAGCCCTTCCAGGCCCCGCGTCAGCGACGGCCACGACCACGGCGCCAACGGCCTGGCAGCCTAAAAGGGAGGTCACTCAGTTTCACTCCACAGCCTCGACAGTCAGCAAGAGTCATCCAGTTTAAGTTTGGTGTGTTGTTTGATGTAACAATTTGCAGTGATGCGTGTTCCAGAATTCATGCAGTATCTCGCTTCAGATATGGTTTGCGGTAGATGGTATCACAGCAATTTTCAGTTTCTGGTCAAATCTTCTGTTTTCGAGCTACACTTTGGGGGTTGCCATCCATATGCTTATTGAGCCTACATTGTGTCTAAGCAGTGCTGTCAAGGATATTCCCCGAGCCGCAGAACAGCAGTTCCGAAGAGTCCGAGTCAGAGGCATTTGCTGGTGTTCAAATTCAAATCAACATAGACATCGACTGTTTCATTGGTGTCATAGGATCATGGTGCATCATGATATATTCTTCATGGTGTGATATTCTTCCATTGTGCGTGCGTGTCTCACCAAGGCATCTCTTTCAAGCCGGATGGAGGAACATGTTCCTAGAATATCCTAGATTTATGACTTTTGCGCGCATTTGCACAAGAGAACAACGTGGTCTCATGTTTCCTGTGAAACTTAGCAATTGGAATGTGATCTGCACCAGCTTGAGATTCTATGAAGGAATCTTCCGCTGTATAAGCACAACCCCACTGACTAGCGCTGATCCCGATCAGGCATCTTCGACAGGTAGCGGTCAATCCAGTCTTGTCTACGAGTCGGCGTGACTTGGCAGTTCGTGAAGCCTTGCTTTTGGCAATCTCTTGTCTAGTTGCTGGTCCTTCTGCCCAAAGAATCTTTGTTTATTCGGATGAATACGATAAAATTGAGAACACAGCCATTCCAGGGGTTGAGACTTAAGCAGCCCACACGTTTTGCATATCGTTACTGTGAACTCAAGTTCCCGACTGTATTGACAATACATGTTGTTATTTTCGAAAACTGAGTGACGCTTCAAATGCATTTTCTGATTGCCTGGTGCAACCTGGAAGACTCAGTCAGCTAGCAAGATCTGCCAAGCAATCCATATGCTAGATACTTGTTAAGTCTTGGAGCTTTCAGCTTGTTTAGTGACGAAGAAGTTTACCAGGCAGTGACCAAAAAGAATTCATCACACGGGTTTAGTCTCGAACTGGCTGCAAAGAAAGCTCCTGCAAAGAATAACTACAATGGACTGCCCCTTGCTACTACTAGAGTTAGCGATGCCAGGAGCCCCTAGTAGCGTCCTTGCTCCTAGTAGCGATGCCCTTTGCTCCTAGTAGCGTCCTTGCTACTACAATGGGTGCCTTCGATCTTCGACAACACTGCACAGCTAGCTATTCGCAACGGGCTGCTTTTGACCAACCAAGGCCTCCAGCAAGACGCCCCCCTCCGCCCTCTACCACACCGCCACCACCACCTCGAGCCAAGGGGTGAGCTGCAGCTGTGTTTATTTTTCATGTTTGAAGTTTGAACACACCACTTGCATGAAATGTTGCAAACAGATCTATCATGTTCAACTGCTGTGGCTACCTTACGACTTGCAATGCACGTGAATGTTGTAAATGCATCGCGGTTTCTCGTGGCACGACAATGTTTCTGCATAGTTCTGCCAGGACATCGCTACTATTAACAAGGGCATTACTAGCCAGAAGCTACTAGTAGCGATGCTGATTGACATATCCAGGTGGGTGACTGGTCCACGAATCCGTCAGTGGGCCTCGCAGGACGCTACTTTGGCACGAGTAGTGGCTGCAACATGCTGGAATTGTGTGTTTTGACCGTGTTTGGTCCAATAGGCTTTGTATATTTTGGCAACCATTCAGAGTTTGCCGTGCAGAAGCTGAGAGATTGTATCAGATTGATGCAATTGTATTTGTGTTGAGAATTCCAAGCAATATTAATATGTGTTCTCCACCTTGCCACGACTGTTTTGATACCTAAAGGCAAGTGGTGCTGAAATTTGGCAAGACTGGTGCCTTATTGCGTGGAGATTTAAGTTTGGCAGTGAAGCTAACTCCGTGAATGTGCTGACCTAAACAGCGATGGAAGGACAACAGTGATTCTGACGACGAGATCGTTCCATACTGGTAGGCCTTAGGCCTTGCGGCGGGAGTTGATTCCAATAACGATTTAATTTAGGATTTGGGGATGAATTTATATCCAGTCGGTTTGTGACCCACTCGCCTCACCTCTTCGGCTTGAGATTCCAAGCCGAGAACGAGTTGTTGGGAGACAGCCCCCCAGAAAAACAAGTACGTTCTGCAAACAGCACGCTATTAAATCTCAGTGTTTGTAGAGAGTCTTTACTCGCTTCACAGAAAAGGAAGATTCGAGAAAATCCATGCATGTTTTTTCGAGAAATCCGAGCTTTGTGGCCTTGCCGAGACTCTGGCGAATCACTTGTAGATCAGGATGATCGCCCCGGTGACAGACTCTTCCTTTTCCACCTCCTTTTCTCCCGGTCTCGCCTCCAAACTGAACTCCAGTCCTCTCCACTTTGACATTTGCCTCAGCTCCGATCGGCCAATCAAACCAAAGCCGCCAAAATATGAAGTAGACCATAGGAGACATATTCAAAGAGTGCTAATCGAAGAGTGTTTATGGCATGTCGACAGCAATACATAGCGTCTCAGAGCGTCAAGTGTCAAGTTTGAAGATCTTGAAGAAGATGGGATGGCGGCGAAGAGCTCAATGAAGCAATGCCATTGAGGGTTGTGCAGGAGGAAATCACCGTCACCCGGTTTCATCAATTTGACGTGAGAGATGTGAGAGAAGGATTATGAGTTTGGTCAGGGATCATTTCTGGAAGCGGCATTATCCTCCCAGATGTCAGCACAAGTATAGAACCAAAAAGGACGAGCCATAAGAGCTCTGAAGTAATTTGTGTAATAATAATGTATATAATTAATAGTTATAATGGTATATATATGTACACATAATGTAACTAGTTGTGGGATCTCGTTGCGCAACATCTTGACCTCAGAAGAAGTTTCGACGCTCAAGAGACTCTCCGCCTTTGGCATCTCTCAACCCTTGGGACTCATGTCATGTTTTGTTGGATTCTCCACGTTAGCAATAGCAGACGTGAGACGTGGGGTTTTGATGAGTTCAGAGCACAGCAGATGACATGAAGCTTGCTCTAATTTTTGCCTTGGCCATAATCACCAACCTTCGTCAGCCAAATCGCCAGGTAGATCATTTTATGTAAATACTCGTTTGCAGTTCCTCGGTTGCAGTATCATGGCTTCATATTTGGCGCGTGTTTCGCGATTTTATAGTAACTTGATTGGATTGATGGTTTTGTTTTCTTAGGCAGCACATTAGTACAAATACTATAGACTTGATTTTGCCGCATGTGCTAGCAACGGCAGTAGGCTGCGAATGTGCAACGCTGCAACTGCGCATGTTTCTCTTCAATTCTGTTGTACAGAACGTTCAGCTCAACATACACCAACCCTTTAGAAGAGGGGCCGTGCTTTTTCACCAGAGCGCAAAGACAAAGATGTCAATCATGGCTCACCAAGAACGGAATTCTGCCAACAACAACTTGGTGTTGGTCCTTTGCACTCATGTGCGAGAAGAAACTCTTCCTCCAGGCTGATCTACTTCATGATCATTGGCCGTGACAGGTGCTCGCTGATCTCTTCAAACATTTTTCTCACAAACCAGGATTCCTGTTTGAGTTTCAGCTGATTTGATTTGACCCACCATAGCACTGGGGCAATTCATGATGGCTGTGTTCCTACTGTCAGGAGTCACAAGTGTGGGCCAATTTGTCAACAGCACCAAGCTCAGAGGGCCGCTGCAGGCTTGATGCATGCAATTCAGTGATGAAATTGTAAAGAGGGAGCACTCATAATGCACCGCTTGATTGCATCCAAGGATGGAGTAGCATCCTTGCTCCTAGTAGTAAGGCGAGGAGCCTCTAGTAGCTTCTTGTTACACTAGTAGTAAGAATGCTCCTAGTAGCGATGCCAGGAGCCCCTAGTAGCGTCCTTGTTCATGCTCCAAGCTCACACTCACGCACCCTTGAGGCCCAACTTCATCACCGGATTGCCAGATTCGACTTGAGGGAAGCCTTTGGCGCAGCCAAATGTAACTGGCGTCTTGAAGGAGCTTAGTTGTGGTGTCAGTGCAGGATGCCTGGGCAGTCAGCATTAAGGAGAGCCAAACGGAACAGATGCTCGTCCATATTTTACATGTTTTCAGATGGTTGGGTGGTTTGTGGATGTTTGTGGGATCAATTTGGAATAAAAATCCTTGAAACATATTGAAACATTTCAACTTGTGCTGTCCTTCAATCAAGATTGCCCGGCAAATGTTCCGGACCTGGACAAGAAATACTACATGGATCCACAAATAATAAATTACGAATGCAATTAATAATTGGATTTATATCATTAATAAATATATTGTATATATTTAATTAATTCATCTAAATATCTATATAGCAATTAATTCAATATTTTAATATAATTATTTATGTTTATGTATTTATTTATATATATATATTTTTTAAATATATATTGAAATTTCTTTGTTTTAAATAATGAATGAATATTGAATATTCGATATATATTAATAATTTAATTTTATATATTATTGTATATATATATATATGAATTTTATTTATATATTTGTTCAAATATATATATATATATATTAAATTTTGGATTATCTTAATATTATTTGCATTATTTTATTATATTTTTTACTTTGAATAATATTGTATTTTGGACATATTTAAATTAAATAAATTAAAAATATAATTTCCTGGCAAAGATACTACTTATAAGGGGTAGCATTTCCCAAAAGCTATGTTATGGGAATTTGCAATATTAATAGGCGGACGGGCGCCGTCGGGTTTTAATTGGTGGAATTACTAAAGTAATATCTCTTACTAATTTACCTAAATTTAATTCCGCTTGGTTTATTTAAATACACTTTATATAATTGAACTTATACGACTCTTACACTAAGAATTCTTAATAGCTGGAATTGTCCTTGTTTTAGCAAATGAGAGGCTGGAATTCTCGAGATCGCCGCATCGCGTGAAAACTTCATATGTAGGGGGCCTCCGCCCCCGGGTTTAATTCTCCCCTGGGACGCCTCTGGGGGACCTTTCGGGCATCTCTTATGGCATCCACGTTGGTTTAACTCCTCCGGGATACGGTGTAAAGATTCAACGAACTCACAGGTTCATGACATCGACATTGATAGAAGAAACCAAACAAATCATGTAAGCAACTTTGTTTTGCTTCTGGGATACCTCTTGGGCACCTCTTATGGCATCTACTTTGGTTCAATTCCTCCTTGGAGGTTTAGGGAGACGGTGCAACAGATTCAACAAGCTCACAGTGAACACATCGGATGCATCGAACAGTGTGGCAAAGTCTAGCCACGCTTCCTGGTTGGCTGTGTCATTGCTGTTTGTGTGTCTTACATGTTCACAACATTTTACCTCATGAGCATTTGCCTCACTCCGCTTGATGCCCCACCAGTCCGGATGTACCCCTGCTAGCTTTCGTCACCTACCCTCGGCCTCAAGTAATTCCTCAACACTCAATTCACGTCACACCAATCTCAAACACCAATTCGAACCAAACTTCAATTCCATCCATCTGTGGCTTTGAACATTTGCTCACAAGCAAACGAAGATATTTGGATGTGCTATTCAGGCACAGAAATAGGCAAGCAACACAACATGAAAGCTTCAATTATTGGAAGAACATATCAAATATTTAATGTTCGGTCCAGACTTCCAGCGCACAGGAGTTTTGTTTGTTTGCATCCTCGCGGGCCGTCCTGGGCTCTTTCGTATCGCGAAGCGCTTGTCCAAACAACTTGCATCCATTGATTTCAAACACGGGCGCGTCCTCTGTCGCAGAGGCTGGTCTGAGTCACGTAATTGTCTCAATTATGTTTACTCCCCCGTGATCCGATCCACCGTCTCTGGATGGATCACGCAATTAGGCGAGCTCGCAGGACGCACCACGGCCCGACGTCTCGGCGAGCTCGGCCAGCCGTCGACTCGGATCGTCTTCGGTCGCGCTACGTCTCCGGAGGTGCCGGTCGTCGGTGACGGTCGGCGTGGCTGGTTTCGTATTGGAAACTGGTCTGACTAGTCTGAGTGGTCAGACTGACAGGAAGTTGGCGAACTGAAAAAAACACATCTTTAAGATTCTTTAAGTCTGACTAACCTTTTTAAGCTGCTTCTTTAAATGCAATTGTTTATCTGTCAAACAAACGAACACACCACCTTCTGTAGATCATCCGGTCTTTGGGAAATGAGTCATGAGCACGTGCCAGCCCCAAAAACCATGGAAAACATACTTTACTTCGAGTGATCCCCACCATGACATTTCAAAACAGCACAAGTCCTTCAGCGCCAAGTCTTACTGCTTTGTCCGAAGCGAATGCTTTCATCAGGAGATGTGTGCCCAACTAATAATACAACTCAGATCCTCCGGTTGTGTTTGTGATTGTTTGTGCTTGTGTGTTTATGATTGTGTGTTTGTGATTGTGTGTTTGTGGTTGTGTGTTTGTCGTTGTGTCTTTTTTGTTGCGTTTGTGATTGTGTTTGTGGTTGTGCTTGTGGTTGTGTGTTTGTGATTGTGTTTGTGGTTGCGTGTTTGTGATTGTGTTTGTGGTTGTGCTTGTGGTTGTGTGTTTGTGATTGTGTTTGTGGTTGCGTGTTTGTGATTGTGTTGGTGGTTGTGTGTTTGTGGTTGCGTGTTTGTGATTGTGTTTGCAGTGTCTTTGTGGTTGTGTGTTTGTGGTTGCGTTTGTGATTGTGTTTGTGCTTTTGGTTTTGTGTTTGTGGTTGCGTGTTTGTCATTGTGTTGGTGGCTGTGTGTTTGTGATTGTGTTTGTGGTTGCGTGTTTTTGTGTGTTTTTGATTGTGTTTGTGGTTGCGTGTTTGTGATTGTGTTGGTGGTTGAGTGTTTGTGGTCGGGTGTTTGTGATTTTGTTTGTGGTTGTGTGTTTGTGATGGTGTGTGTGGTTGGGTGTTTGTGTTTGTGTTTGTGATGGTGTGTGTGATTGTGTGTTTGTGGTTGTGTGTTTGTGATTGTGTGTTGTGGTTGCGTTTGTGATTGTGTTTGTGGTTGTGTGTTTGTGATTGTGTGTTGTGGTTGCGTTTGTGATTGTGTTTGTGATTGTGTGTTTGTGGTTGTAGGTTTATGATTGTGTTTGTAGTGTGTTGGTGGTTGTGTGTTTGTGGTTATGTGGTTGTGTGTTTGTGGTTGTGTGTTTGTGGTTTTGTGGTTTTGTGGTTGTGTTTGTGGTTATGTGATTGTGGTCGTGGACGTGGATGGTCGCGGGTGAGGTCCGGTAGGGAACATTTGGGCTTGGAATTTATAATTGAGGACCGGTAGGGAACACTGGGCGTGGTTGGTCGTGGTTGAGGTCCGGCAGGGAACACTGGTCGCGGATGTTCGTGGTTGAGGTCCGGGAGGGCACATTGGGCGTGGATGGTCGTGGTTGAGGTCCGGTAGGGAACACTGGGCGTGGATGGTCGTGGTTGAGGTCCGGCGAGGAGAAGAAGGAAAAGGAGAAATCAATTAATGTAAAATTTAATAACCCTCACCTGGCAGATGGGGAAAAAATACCTGGACATACCTGGTCCATACAGGCACTAAACATATCTAAAAATGATCCCCCTTTACAGCAAGATACCTTAACATCCACCGTCGTTTCGAAGGTGGGACTAGAATGGACCTGAGAGGTTGAGGGAGAGGGGGAGTGTGGATGGGGATGCGAGGGTAAATAGATAAATGAAGAGGAATGAGAGCATATATGCAGAGGAAACATTGAAATTGAGAATAAGGGAATGAAAAAATGAATTTTTTATCATATTTAATTTTATATATATTATGAAATTTATATTTCGATATATTTTTTTTAAAGGATTATATATGGTAATCGATCGAAAGGTCGACATAAGCAAAAAATATTCTTTTTCTGGCAAAAGATTTACGAAATAATTTATTATATTATATATTATATGTATCAAAATCGATACTAATATCAATGATTGACGACGACAATATTGTATGAATTTCAACAACAATAATTATTATTGCAGCTGTTGTTGCCACTGGATATTATGCAAAGATTCGCGAAAATTCCGCGACAATATAGGCGAATATTCTATTTATTTTGTGGATCCCTACCCAAGCCAAGCAGCGCCAGACCCAAGCCAAGCCGTTGATAATTCTTCCAATTCATCCTCCAGCAATTCTGCTGATTCATCCAATGGTGGTGATTGAGAATTCTCGTCAATCTGCCTTGTAATACCCCAATCTCGTCTGTAAAATGTTTAGGTTGCTATGTAAAATCATTAAATCAAGATAATTTCCAGAGGATATATCCCCCGCGAAAATTAAAGAAATATCATGTTTTTTTTTCGCGAAACATGGCCTTCCAACAAAAATCAATTTTAATCAACCTCCATATAATATAAAGATTTGTATTTTGCATTTGACACGACATTTATATATCGAAAATTATAGATTTTATATTTAATATGTTTGTATTTCATAAATCATAATTTATATATTTATTATGAAATTTAATTTATTCGATGATTATTATATATCCAAAATGTTATATCTATCACGAAAATTATATATCGAATTAAATAATTCTTTCATTTATAAAAAATATCGATTTCGAAATAATAAAATATAATATGTTCCTTATATCTGCCATTTAAAAAAACCCTAATATACGTAATTATATGCGATACCACAATCGAAATAAAAATACAGGCAACAACAAACAAATTCTACGTTTTAAATAATAAATAATCCCATCTTCTTATCTTCCACCATAAATATAATCCTAAATACACCCATATTATTTCGAAAATTATATAATAATATATAATTAACAAAAAACAATTATTCAAATTAAACAACAAATATCTTATTAATATTATTATTATTAACCAACATCATTTAAAAAAAATAAAATATAATTCGAAATATTTAACAAAATAAACATAAATTTATTCAACAATCATTAAACATAATTATATCACATTTCCGATAATATATATACAATAAATCGACAAAAAATCATTTTATATAAACATATATTCATTCATTCATCACTCAGCGGACCATTCATTATGTCCGCCCGTGTTGGGCTGCGGGACATGTGTCCTGGCTGTTTCAGGAACAGCTGTAGCCTCATCCGAGCAAGCGACAAAAACGGTTGAGTAGTAAATCGTCAATCGGCTAAGCAGGCAGTTATGGCTTCGAACGAAATTGATGCATATTGCTTCAAAAGATGGAGCCATGGTGCTCCTCTGTGTTGTTTGGGGACTAACCACAAGAGGTACAGATCTCTACAAAACTCCTCATAACGTAGCGTTCGTGTCGGCAACATAAAATCGTCTGTGATCAACTGCGTACCTAAGTAGAACAGCAAAGCACGATAGTATCCTTCGGTCGACTTCGATCCATGATGGACCACATCTGCAACAACATTATAAAGTTCCTCAGAAGCCGTAACAAACTGATCTCAGTGTGAGTCCATGTAAGAGTACAGTGTTCTTGGAGTCAAAATCAGGGTAACGTTCAAGTTGAAAGCAAATATAAGGACATGTGGCTGCGAATCCGGTCCTATATAAGGCACTATTGTGCCATTCTTCCACAAGGATCTAAAGTGTGACGACGTCACTAGGCAAATTACGAAGAAGCACTGGTGCAACCAGACATCCATAATTTTCAATACTATCTTCAAGTCTCGATTCCCAACCGGGGACCTATGACATGGTCGCTAGAACCTATTTTGCAAACAAAATGTTCAATATATCAAATTTCCGATAATATATATATAATAAATCGAAAAAAAAAATATATATAAACATATAATAAACCACCATATATTTTATAAATATAGTATTCAAATATATTTAGAATATTAAACAATATATCAACCAATATGCAAAAATAATTCTTTATATGAATATTATTCGATTAATGTTATTTTTTAATATTGACTAATTTTAGATTCATTCGGAATTGAATTATAGCTATATGTATTATCAAGTGAAACCTATGAAGATTGGGATCGAGCCTGTCAAACCCGCAATACCTCCCTCCTTCAAAGATATCGAACATGAATGCAATCAACGCCGTATTTGGCAATCCATCGGCTGTCACAATTGTTTTTGCCTTGGGATGGCTCCTGCTGTACAAGGGCTGAGGGCTCAGGAATGCGTGCTTCACCATCCCGTTTTTCCAGTTTTCACCTGTTTGACCAACTTGCCCTTATCCACTTGCTTCACTCTCAACGTGACACAGCATGGTGTAGTTGGAGTCATGTCTGATTATATAGTTGGGCCATGGACAATCCCTCTCTGAGCAGTTGACACCGAAAGGAACAACATAAAGGACACATCTTTCATGTTTGTTTCAGGCGAGTACTTTGCCCACACACATGAGAGTAAAGTGATGGTAAAGTACAAATCCACACTCCACACCTGTGGTCGGTTTGGCTCCAGTCCTTTGCAAAAAGGGACTAATGTATGTGTAGCCATGGGTTCGTTTGCTGGTTGTGTCACTTTGCGTGTTCCAGGATGTTCCAGGTGTCAGGTGCCACCTAATGCCTATGTGATTCGATTGCAAGTTGAGGCTGTTGGCCTTGTCTGCGAGATGGAGACCATTGACTCACGCTTTCGATGAATTCTCGTGCGTTCTTGCCTAATGCTACTCACCGTGTCTTCCAGGAGATTGGCCTTAGCAAGAAAGAAATAACATCTCATCTCCCGCACACGGCAAATGTTAAAAGGACATGGCAACATGGAACGGACACACATTTGTTGAGCTTTTGAAGGAGTACTCAGTACAGTGCTGGAAGAGAATGCGCGATACAAATACTTTTGTGGCATTCCCTTGTCAGGACCCTCTCTAGTTTCATTTGCAGTTGTTCACTGTTTCTATACTCAAACGTAACATTGGTAGATCTGCTTCAGATGGACGTCAGAAAGAATATGTCATTTTTCTTTGTCAACATATATAGAAAAACACGGTTACGTGAATGAACCTCGTTGAGTTGAAGTCAGACTTCATCTGAAGCAAATGTCCGAAACGCACAAAGCTTCGGTAAGTTTCCCGAAAATGGAAACTAGAGCTCATTAGCCAAGGCCCTAGCCGACCATTTCCAACAAGGGCACTTTTCAATGCCTTTCAGCATCACACACATCCTTCTTTTGATTCGAAGAATGAACACAAGGAACTCTACAGTAGAGTTCAGTCCTTGGGGTTTGCCCATTCTGAGTCCAAATAGGAGTCATCCTCATCCTCCTGAAATGGGTTAGTTTTGCAGGCGACAGGTGTCAGGTGACAGTCTGACATTGAGCTCTAATTGAAAGACTCTGTGGCAAAATTCTGAGGGAGTTCCTGAGGACATCCAAATCAAAAATAGCTGAGCGATCTCCTGGAGCTTCTTCTGCTCCTCCTGCTTTCGGTAGTAGTGTGCCATCATTGCCTTCACCCAAATGGTTCCCAAGCTGTTTTGGCAGCGGAGGCGTGATTCAAAGATTAATTAAACTGCCGTATTGGATTGAAGAGCATCACCAACATCTTCCGTGGCCATATCGCCGCTCTGCTAAATCATATAGGTTATGACCTATGTGCATGTCACACAACTCAAGTCATTTTTGTTCTAGCTAGCAAGAAGCTACTAGTAACAAGTGCATTACTACTAGTAACCAGAAACTACTAGTAGCTAAGTGCATCGCTATTAGTAGCTATTTTGCTACTAATAACACGAAGCTAGCACTCGGCTCATGCACTCGGTGCCTCCCCCAGGCTCACATGATGTGAGAGATTGTCAAATTGTCCAAAGGTCCAAAGGACGTACAATGCATCAGTGCTTTATTTTGGTGAGGCTGGACAGGCCTTGTGGGTGTTTTCGTCGATGCGTGGCTCTCGTACAGGAGCACCAGCATTTTTGGGTGCCAACTTTGCCACAATCTTTGTCTTCTCCTTGGGAGGGCTATTGAACGCAACATGCACAGTGGCATTGACTGGCATTGTCAAAAAAATGCAAGTGAGAGGTGCTTGTCTTGACAGCTCTTGACTTATCAGTCACACAAAAAGACCTCAAGGGCTGCCAACCCGTACCCGAATCCCAAAACCTTTTTGCCAACTACTTCATAATGTCTCTAACCCAACTGACATTCATCTCTTGGGTCGTTACAGCACACCTGTTCTGTTGTAGCAAAATAACTGAGGCTACACCGACCAAGTGCTGGACGTTCTTGCCCACATACTGTTCCAAAGATTGGTCGGTCCTGTCGCGTATTTCATGATAAGCAAGAATGCCGCATGTCATGAACAGCATTAACATTGTCAGCTCAATGCCTGAAGAATCTGCACTTCGGAACGAAGAACCGTCCAAGTTTCAGCCATTCCGCAAAGGTGCAGTCTGACTATGTCAGATATATAGGTCTATTCAATTTGTCACATTTTGGCCAACTTTTACATTTGGGGTATGACTTCCGGTGGAGTGAATGGAACTCCTTCCAAGATGTATGCCACGAGCACTGGCCGAGAGGCCACAATGCAGGACAGGAAAAACAAACACTAGCAAAGTGTATTCGATGCACCAGGGACTAGTTTCCAACCTAGTAGCGATGGCCTCCACCCTAAGAGTGATGGCCTGTGGCCTCCACCCTAAGAGCGATGGCCTTCAACCTAAGAGCGATGGCCTCCAACCTAATAGCAATGGCCTCCACCCTAAGAGCGATGGCCTCCTACCTAAGAGCAGCCTCCACCCTACGAGTAGTTAGAGGTGAAAAACAGTTAACTTGACATGGAGCTGGTCTGGGATTGACTCGGCAGGAAAGGCCGCTGTGGCTGTCATTGTATGCAGATCACAACTCTTTGTGCCAACCCTGAGCTCCTGAGCTCTTTGCCAGCCCACCAAAGATTGGTTTGCGAAGGCTCCAGCCTGACTTCAAATGACGGTCCCTGAAAAAAAAACACATACATCGGATGGACAACTCTGTCCTCCACCTTAGGCCATTCTGATGGTATTGCGTCAATACAACTTGTTGAGACATCTACACAAGTGGATTGGCAATCTTCTTTGTAAGCAGAGTCCCAAGACTGCCATGGTGTAACAACAAGAGCAACGCTTATGTCTATGTGTCTACGTGGGACTTGTTGCAAAGATCTCTCAGAGCTAATTTTCCTGGTCTGGTGATTCTCCCTCAATGTGCCAAGTTGTCTTCATCAGGATTGAGAAAGTGCAGCAAAACAGAACAGCTTCTCAGATAAAATCAGATCGGAATCTAGACTGTCACTTCATGTCGCTTCAGCCAATTGACCAATGCTAAAGCCACCCTCATCCTAAGCATCCCCGCACGCACTGCAACTCCGATGCACCATCCAGCTCCTCTCGCTCTTCTAGCTCTTGCCGGGCTGGATCCTGAGCAAACATGCAACATCGAATGACCCTAAGAGGGCTCTGACGGTGGAACACTCCAATTTGAATGCATATACATGCCCAAAGGAGTGGCTGATCCGGCCAACACAACTAGCAGCTACTGTAGTAGGAAGCCATTCGTTAAGGAAGAATCCATATGCGCTAAAAGGCACAACCCCCTACTTTTTGTTAGCCCGTGGAGGTAAGCTTCTAGGTAGAACGCAGGATAGCTCACACTTCTTCCAAAGCGTTTGCGCTATTCATGTGGTTCCTAGATTTTGGGAAACCAATCGATTCCACCCATCCGGCACGTCAAGTTGAGCTCCGGGCATATACCGGCAAGCGATGAAAAGCTGGATATGCAATCCTGAACCACACAAACTTCCTGAAATCCTGAACACATGGTTCATGTGACCATAGAGCATTTAAACTTAAATGTGGGTAGTGTATGACACATTGTTGGTACTGCGCCACAAGTTCATTGTCAAGGCACATCACAGCTCCGCGCATGTTGTCGATTTGGGTCTGGCATACCTCACGGTATGTGATTGTTCCAAGGTCTGTTTCCTTGATACACAACAAATGCCTTCATTCTCTGCCCAAGACAAAGGGTCTCTTTTGCAAACATTCTGTGAGTCAACCGTGCTTCTAAGCATGAACCCTCCACATACCCTGTGTAGCAAATGCTTTGGTCGAATATGTTCCTTTGAATTTAAACGTGAAATATGTCACGGTTGCTTTCTATCCAGTGCTTGCCTGGTTGCTGCACTGACTCATTCAGGCTGGGTCACCAGAAAACCGACTAGTGCACTCCGGCGGCAAGTGGGCGGTCTATATGTCAAGACAAATGTTACTCCTTTAACACACTCTCAATGAGACAAAAGCCACTGAAGGATCATTGACGCAAAAAAACAATATTAAAGCGCCATCGGCACAAACAAGGACCTCTGTTTTTTATTCCTGGCCAGTACCTCTCTAAAGCCGCACCAGCCCCGACAAGTGGTGGTTCAATGATTGTGCTGCGGGTGCCTTCTTGTCAATGCTACGCTTTTGCTGCACCAACTCCCCCGCCACTGCGGCCTGGGAAAACAATTCACAACTGGAGACAAACTCCAGGAACTGGTCGTCACAGAATAGGAATACCAAAACAAACCAAATACTGTTCGAGAGTTTGTTGTGTTCCGCAGTGCAACAGCAAGTTTTTTTGTCATGAGTCATGAGTTTGCAGGCATAAAGAGCCCGCCATTGAAACGCATACATGCGGTGAGTTGTTGAGTAGCTTTGGTTGCATTTCGATATGTTATGTGTAAGTGTACCTCAAGGATGTGGATGTAAAGCTCAGCACTCTAGACTCTAGACCTCCGGGCTTCAAGCCTAGAATATGTAAGTATATGAAGACCATTGAAGACCCTGACATTCAGTAGCCCCCCCAAAAAAAGTTTCCTATTCACCCCCAAGAAAGAAGTAATCAAGAGACCGCAAACTGGCACTCTTTTACTGTCCACGGTCCTCACTCAGGACAGCTCCAATTTAATCCAACCTAAGAGCGATGGCCTCCGACCTAATAGCGATGGCCTCCAACATAATATCGACTGTTTTGGTAGCTTGCTCAAAGCTCCATCCATTCCAAGTGGCTGCTCCTTCCTCTGCAGTTCTGGACAAAACTTCTGCTACCTGCTGCGTGCTGCATCTTCTCGCATTCGTGTGCTTACACTTGAACCTACCAAATAAGCACAGTTGAAGGTTGTAAGACTAACCCCTGGCGTCAAAGACTTGTGGAGGCGCTGCACGAATCAGCACGGTGCCCGAGCCTCTGGAGGTGGAGGTACTCCGGTCCGAAAGCCAGACTCATCTGGTCCTTAAGGTCACGACGGTTCAGCAGGGCTGGAAGCAAGTGCTCAAAACAAAAATGCAGGCTCAAACGACTCTCAGCAACTGAACTTGTTACTGAAGTTGCTATGTGAGTCCAAACGTTGTAAAACAAACACACAGTTACCAGAATAGAGCAACAATCAACCAAAGTGCACGAGTTTAGTTTCCACTTGAGATTTCCATGTGTGTTTCGGTGATCAAAACGAATTGGGTGCGCTACCCCTATCGAGTCCACCCAGTCGCGACCCGATGAATGGAGCCGCATGAGGATCTGGCTGGTGGGCTGTCCGTAAGCATTCACATCCAGCTCTGTGACCTTGCTGAGATCCTGGTGTTTTTCTTCATGGAAATCGTTTGGACCAATGTATTACAGCTCAAGCTATGCTCAAGCTGCTTCGGTTTACACAATATGACATGAGCAATCTGTTTGGCGTTGTAGGAGCGTCCCGTGGCAGTTTAGTAGTTTTGCAAATTACAATCTATATACAAGGATGAACGTGCTAACCTCAAGGCATCTCAAGGCCAATGGAATGTTGTGCTCATTTCAAAGTGCATCAACATGCCAGGCAAAGAGTCTGGCACAGTGGTCTTGCCATTCTCACAATATTGCGTCGTACAGTGTCACCCCTCAACAAAGTCAATGGTGCCGGAGCAACAGTGTTTTTTCTTGCAGAGACAGCATGTGGCCAACCACGTTAAGAAATGCCTCTCGATTAAAGTATAGTACCATCCTTGAACTGTCGATTCTTTTTGCGCTCATTTCCAACGCACTCTGTGCTAGGTTCTCCTCCAGGCCAAGCATCTCAACACCAAGAGTGCCAACAAAAGGCTGGTGGCTTAAGCGGCTGCATAGTTCTGTGTGAACTGTCGATGTCTTTTGTCTCTCTCTCTCTCTCTATTGTCTTTTTCTCTCTCTCTCTCTCTATTGTCTCTCTCTCTCTCTCTATTGTCTCTCTCTCTCTCTGTCTGTCTGTCTCTCTCTCTCTCTGTCTGTCTCTCTCTCTCTCTGTCTCTCTCTCTCTGTCTCTGTCTGTCTGTCTCCTTCTTTCTCGCACCCTCTTTCTCTCTTCCTACTTACCTACACTTCGTGGCACGTGGATGTGGAGATTTCAGTATTTCTGCAAACAATCCTTGAACAATGAACAACTTTTAAAAAAGAAAGAAAACAGAAAGAAACACTGGTCCAAGGGTTAACGACAAAAGGAAAATAATTGGAAACAGGGAATTAGATTAGATTCTTTTACAGTTTCGCCACTAATGCCAGTGCTTGTATTAAGATGTATTAGGTTGGAGGCCAGCGCTATTAGTGATTGAATTGTCAATAATTTTTCATTTATATTCATGTGTATAGTTTTGACGGATATGAAGCACTCGCTCGCTTTGCGCTTCCACATCGGCTATGCCGGCTCTCCTCAGAGATGCCACGCGTCTCTTCAGGCCGAAGTGGCCCATGCTTTGCCAATTCCTGAATTCAAACGAGTTTTTCCGAATATCCTTACTTCATCCTAATTCCAATAGCTGCTGCTAAGAGGTAGAACTTGGTGAGATGATGTGGGATGGTTACGGTGCTGTCCTTGCAAGCCATGGAGAGGCGCAAGACTTTCAACCTTGTGCACAGGATCGAGAATCGAGAGTATTTGGCGTTGTGAGTCTGCTGTGAAAACGCAAGCATGCTGAGCATGCGGGTGGGCAGCAAATGGGAAGGCAGCCACTGCATCACCAAAGCAACAACTTGCAACAACAACATGGTAAACATATTCCAGCTCACTCAAGTCAGGAGTGGATTTTGATCGATTTAGTTTCAACAGCTGCAGGAACAACGAGATGCCAAACAACAGAAAGTGGAAAAAAACACTGCCATCACAGTTCGGCATGCACTGTCAAGTCTGACATATTGCCTTTTATCTGCTCATAGATTCTGGATCATTGGAACGACAATTTTTGGAATATGGTGCATCCTGACACATGTGCGAGTAATCACAACCTTGTGGGCCACACCGTAAATTGTGAAGCTCGCAAAGCTCTTTCAAGAGGTCACCATTGTTGACCTGGCCAAGGGCATTTTGTCTGTGCTGCTTGTGCAGAATGTTCGAAACCAAAGCTCAGCTCAGTGCCTAAGTCTTAAGTTCTAGTGTTCCACCCACTTTGAGCAAGCTGCATTGAGGGCTTGATTCATTTGTTGGCCGTGCAGGGCTTCCTCAACTCCAAGTGCAGTATCTTAGAATCTCATAAAACCTGAGGTGGTCGCAAAGGCTTGCAAGCTTGCCCGATTTCACGCCTTTACGGTTGTCTCATACAGGAACTCATTCTTCTTCTCAGAGCGTTTTACCTCCAAAAGCACCATGATTGGCCTCAGAAAATAACAGATCGTGCAACAGAACTGCAACAATCTGATCTCATGGCTTGTGGTTTGACAAATTGCTACATCTCATCTGTACACCGATAAGGAGATAAATTCCAAAAAGCTGAGCAAGTTGACAAGCACGCCAGCTGTGCACTGAGGGACAATCAATTATCCATGCAAAACAACTTCAATACTCACACAAAATGCATCGATTCTTCGCCAAAAAAGTTGTGGAGTCTTGCAAGAAACTCATGGTCCATGGTAGAAGGATCGTCCTTTCACTCACCAAGCTCAACATTTACCTCTACTCTGAGTACACAACTTGATTTTTGTTTCATTGTCTATCTGATATTTTTCTAGGGGTGGTGAAAGCTCCAACCGCTGATATCCCAGCAAGGCCTTGGTCAGCGAGGATTTGTCGAATCTCACTGAGCCAACGTGGCAGAATCCGGGATAAAGTGCCCCCGCCCACATAAACGCATGATCTTGATCCAAGTAGAGTATTTCTCTGTCTTCAAATACAGGGTGAGAGCAAAACCAAGCTCGACGAAAGGCTCGGGTTCCACACAAGAAGTACTTAACGCGTAAAATACGTAGAATATGAATGCCACACCCAAACAGTACACGGAGCTGGGTGGCTAAACCGAACCCACACGCAAAAAAAGTTCACTCGTTAAGTTATGTCTGGTCAATAAAGCCTCGTTATGTCTGGTCATGTCCCACAAAATTGCAGAACTTGTGATGCCACCTATTTTGCACGACTAACCATTGTCCAGGACCTGTAATGCCGATGCCATCATCTCAGCTTGTGGATGTACTCCCAGGACTGTCACCAGCGTCACCTGGACTATCCAAACAACAGTTGCTTTGCAAATGACAATGCCAGGGAAAGCTGCCAGCTCACAGCATTCTCTGTTTGCAGCCCTGAAATTGTTTGCAACCATGCCCTTGTCGTCGCAAAGTTTACGGGATGGCGGGCCAGGTCAAAAGAAGTCCTGCCACCGAATCCCTCAATAGTCGAGACGTTGATATTCCAGCTTCCGAGCAGCATCAAACCACTTCTGATCTGGCCAGTTTTCCCTGGTGTTGCTGATTCCGGCCCTCTCCATTCCTCTGCGTACATATTGCACAAATTCATCCCAGAGCTTCTCATCGACCATGCCCTTGGCAGTTCGCCAGCGCATCAAGTTGCACTCCGCTGCCAATAGCACCAAATCTCGCGGAGGAGCTGTCCTGTGGTGCTGGGGATGGAATTTGCATCTGCCAATCATATTGGACGTCCATCTCCATAATAAAGGGAACAGCAATCAGAAAGCTAGAAACAAAGGCTACAGAAAGTAGAACTGACACCTTTCCGTGTGAAACCATTCTTTATCACACCATGTCTGCTGCGCGTCTCCTGAGGTTCTTCGGTTCCCTTCTTTTCAGGCTCCGTGTCTTGGCGGCGCCACGAGCAAGAACCACCTCGAGGCGAAGGCATCTGTGCGAGAGATGAAGAATGGATTGTACAGTTATATAAATCTAAAAAGTAGAGAAAGTAATAATATTGAATAATCTTGATTTAATCTTTAAATTTCCTAGACTTTTGTAGAAGAAACTCACCATATCCAGTTTTCACTGCAGCTAGCGAGAAAACACAGCATGTATAAATACAAAGTTGGTCGCACAATAGAACTTTGCCAGCAGCCCATCCAACAATCATGAACCAGAACGTTACATCCCGAATAGAAGCGGCAGTTCGACAAGTAAAGGGTGTCAAATATTATGATTCTTGGATGGCACAATCAATTCTCTTGAATTCCGAGAACCCAGTCTTCCATTCGATTGAAGCCACAGTCAGGGCAGGACACAATCTCCAAAGCTGACCAAACATCAACCTTGACAAGGTTGTGGAGGAAGATTTGCACTATGCAAGGGAACTTGCTTCTCCATGATCAATGATCCCTATGGGCCCTATTCATGAGTTGAAGATTGGACCTTTGCCAAGCGCAACCACACTATAGTCAGGAGGTTCCTTTGGAACAGTAGGGACACAAACATGACAGTCGCCGGACATGATTTGCACAGTAGTGTGGGTTTGCAAACAAAGGGTAGAAAAAAATAAACAAGGTAAGGTTCACTTCAGTAAGGCCCCTTTAAAGGGAGCCTTATCAAAACGGCAATTACTTCCTCTCTTAGACTGCTTTCATGTTCGCTTTCTTATGCATTTGATCTGTTGTGAGTCACCCGGACTATTGGTAAAGTGATTGCCTGCTGACAGGGCAGCAAAACTGCTACATTTTGTACATTTGATCTGCAAGAGAGCACCCTAGCAAAGAAGGCTTGATGGCAAAAACACCGCGCATGCAGTGTAGGGTCAAGTCTAGAGTGTATGCACAGAAACATCAACACACCTCCGCCGGATACTTAACCTCGCTTTTAAAATGCCTTGGGAGCTTTCAAACATTGGATTCTCACATGCACACAACCCACAATATACATGTGCGACTGTGCAAACACAATGACCGCAAGTGCAAATGACGGTGAGGGAGTCCGCTGATGTACTCAGCACAATTATTTTTTTAACAAGAATAGAATCGATTGCCACAATAAGATGATCCCTTGTATATATATATATGTTTGCACAGTGTAGTACGACAAACAACAAGAGAATGGGAATCACCACTTTGTTTTTCTTGTTGGACATGTAGGTGTCCAACCGACAAAATACCAGTCACCCCAAGACAGTTGACAGAACGCCTTTTCGTATGTGGAAAATTTTCCCGGACAGGACTCTATCAAGATTGATGCCACAAATCTTCACGAACACACCAACAACCACTTTGTAAAACCAGGGAAATAATTGCTAACTGCTGCTAACTACAGATTTGATATGTTTTTCTGATTGAGTTATTTCCAAGCGGATCCCCTTCCACACATGTGTGGCGTCAAAATCAACCTGAGCGCCACGATCGACAATGGAACTTTTGGCAATGCAGTGTTCAAACCATTCTTTGTGCACCGTCCAGTGTTTCAAGTCACCGACTGAATAGTGTCTGTCTACCGCACACACACACAATTGCATCAATGTGATGTATAAACGAACCTGTTCTGTGATCAACGCTGTCCTTGCTCACAGGCTTCTTCGTTGGATGACTTGCTCCCTCTGAACTGACCCAGGAGACTACCCCTTCGATTTCTTGTCACCAAATAGGAAACTATGAGGTTTCGGCACAGTCATTTTGGCTGCTCAGTACCTTGACGCAGCCCTTGAAATCTAGGAAGTATGTAGGGAACTGTCATCGACCGGTTCCTAAGAATGTTTATTCTTTGCCCTGTTTTGTGGTTTTGTTCCTTTTGTCTTGTGCTTTCCAAATTGCTTGTCAGGCTTACATAGGGGTGAATTTTTCATGTTGTTTTTGCATCGTTTCCTTTTTTTTCGGGATCTGTGTGTCAAAATCCTTGGGGTTCACAATTTGCTGCCATTTATGGCAACCTAGTGTCCTTTGAAAGGAAACGCACTGCGGACACAAGGTGGAGTGGCTGAGCTTGAAAGAGAAACAGTTTCGGGGCTCACACTTAAAAGAAACAGCTGTCGTAGCAAGCAAAGTACATTGGCGGAAGAAGCAGCGCAGATTTCACAATGGTGTCCGGTGCAGTGGGGCGTGGGGCGTGGTCGACCTTAAAAAATCACTGTTTTCGTGGCGCTGAAGGGAGGTTGGGGGAAGCGCGTGTGCTTGGATGTTTCTGTGCGCACCTGCTTGTGTCATGTTTTTTTGTTTCTCTCAATTTTCGTGGTGTTTGTTGGGGTGGTTCGCAACTCATGCGCGCACAAAACTCACCTCACTTGCGCAAGCGATGTCGGCAGCGCGCGCCCCCACCTACTTGATTGTGAGCAGGCCATATCCAAAACATCACTTGCCAAGGTGAACTCACTAGCACATGCATGAACCACTTGTCCACGCTGCGACTCACTTGCGCACACAGGCATGTTGCTACATTGGAATGGCACCTTCCTCTTCTAAATTTTACCCGCGGGTGGCTCATAAAAAGGTCTACTATGTTGGAATGGCACCTTCCTCCTCCAATAACTTTTACCCTTGGGCGGTTCAAAAAGCCTTGGAAGGGCTCCTGCCTGCTCTAAATTTCACCATCGCGTGGCTCACAAAAGGTCTGCTCTCTTGGAATGGCCCCTGCCCATCTAATTTTTGCCCTAAGCTGGCTCACAAAAGGTCTGCTATGTTGGAATGGCACCTTCCTCCTCTAAACCTAGCCTCGCGTGGCTCACAAAAGGTCTGCTACCTTGGAATGACCCCTTCCTCCTCTAAATTGTAACCTCGCGTGGCTCACAAAAGGTCTGCTACCTTGGAATGACTCCTCGTTCTCACCTAAATTTTGGCTTTAATGCGGCTTGTAAGCACCACATGTAAGCAGTGCTGTACTTCAAAGTTTTTCCCACAAACACCGCAGAACAACCATGACATACATATGCGCAAAGCGTATTGAAGCTTCTCTGTCTAATGTGTTTGTGTAGCTAAAGCATATATGAAACGCGAGGGTGTGCAAGTTGCGCAGTAGACCAAACAGCAACAAAAATCAACAGAAGCAACAAGACCAGCAAAGCAACCAAAGCACCCAAAAACGAGCCGAGACAAAAAACAAACAGAAAAAACCAAGGTAAACACCAAAAGCAAAAAACAACAATAAGCAAACAAGCAGCAAAAGCAAAACCTCAGTAAAAGCAAAAGCAATGCAAAAAAACAACAAAAGAAGAAACACAGCAAAAGCATAAAAGCAGCAAAAGCAACACTTGTTGAATTAAATTGCCGAACAACAAATGAAACACATCACTAAAAACATGCCCCTCCCTTAGATAGTCCCCTCAACCGCTGCCATACATAAAACGCTGGAAAGTGCGAATCAAATCGCGTTCTACTGAGGAGACCCGAGAGTTCCCCATTAGCCGCCCCAAACAATTCCAGGGCGGGGAGGTCGACCCCCCCCCCC